TGCTACTGGCCAATTTCTCTTTGATGCCATTCAAGCCTATAGCAAAAAAACGGCTATGTATATTGCGCCAAAACTTATGCACATCTACTAAACAAACTTCTGCGAAGGTTATAGGGCTATTTTTAAGTTGATTCTTAAACGTCGAGATTTCCACTGTTTAAACTTTTCTAAGTTCTTCTTCGCTAACAATATAAGCTCTTCGAAGCCATTCAAACATCGCAGAAATATAGAAGCCATTTTATACTAGTCAGAAATACTCCGTTTTATACTAGTCAGAAACGCTTTGTTTTATTAGAGTAAACAATGTATATATTCATAACAGTGTCTCCAGCCTTATTATTATTATTGATTATAGTTTTACAAACCACTACAGAAAAAACGGCTACGAAAATTCTACTAAAACCTGGACAATAGTATTGAATGTAGTATTGAGTATATCATAAGTTAGATTTAAAATTAATTCAAGCATCTTCGTTTTTTCGCCATGAATAATTTCTCTAACTCCTTCACTTTCCGCCATTAAAAAAATCCGGTGTTTTACTAATGTGCATTAATTGGAAAATAATTTATGTAACTCATAACGCATTAATTGGAAACTACCACGTTGTGGATTCACCATTTCTCGAGTTCGCTGTTCTTTACTGTTTCTTGAGTTTGTTGTGTTACTTTGTCTCTACGTACGACTATTTCATTGAGTTTTCTAGCAGTAGACGATTACCATAGTAGATTTCTTTACTCTTGTTAGTGGTGCTATATTCTACTGATTTTCGTACTTCGCTCAAATTATGAGTGCGTATTTTAGTATTATTATCGTTCATATTTTTGTTTCATAAGCCTCCACCAAAATCGGCTTGGTATTTTGCACCAAAACCTAGACGGATATACTATGTGGAACGCTGTGAATGTCCATGACCTGTTTAAAAAGTTTATTACTTTTCATTGATAGTTGATTTACGTGGCTATAAATATATAATAGCTCTGAAGTTGTTGTGAGTGGCTTCCTTTGTACTCAACGCTTGTTAAACGAGTGTTTACACGAAACTTCGAACACAAAATCGCCTGGCTCAGTAAATAATGATTGGGTGGAAAAAAGCAATACAGCAGTAAACTGTTGAAAAACATGTAACATTCAACTGAATGCATATGCGCGTATGTAGCTTAAAATTTATTCTCCATAAATGGGCATAAAAATACTTTAGAAACAAGATAATTACAAATTTTTAATTTAAAAAGGAAAATAGGGATTGTCAAAAAAGTACAGAAACAAGTTGTATCAAAATGCAAAGATTATATTTTGGACTAAAATTGGACATGGAGTCAAAATAGGGATTTGTAGCTTGAGAAAATAATCCATACACTATTTCCAGCCTACTTTGTTTACTTTTTTTTGAATCCAGAGTTGTAGGCTTGAAAAAATAATCTTTTCATTTTCATTCAACTTGATTCTGTACTTTTTGACGATCCCTATTCGCCTTTTTAAATTAACAGTTTTTTTAATTATCTTGTAATTAAACGCTGTCACTGTAACACATCCCATATTTACAAATCCCCAGTTGACGTACGTGTACTGTATTACAGTGGACTGGACCTTTAAAGGTCAGCTATATCAGCTCGTTTCAACTCCATTGATGTACTTGTATCGATGAAGAGGACATGAAACTCTTAGATAAGGACAAAACACAAACCACCAAATTAAAATCACATGTTATCGAAAGAAAAAGAGTCGGAGACAGAAAGAGAAGAATAAATGGAACAGGTACACGGACTGGGCTTTCTATGGACTAGCTGCTTCTGCCATTTTCTTGTTTCGAAATGATATTTTGAAGTCCATGGTGAGTCCTTCATCAGGTCATGGACCCCGAAAAGTCATCTCGAAACAAAGAAAAAACGACAGGAGTCGATAGGAAAGTCAGTCCATGTACTAACGCACTACTTAAATCATTTAAAAAGAAAGAGCGGTTATAAGTGTTTCAGATTGCACCATAACCCTTGTTATCCTCTGATGCCAAATTCAAACGGATGATTAAAAATTAACTAATGCAAAGGATGTTGAGTGAAGCTGTGTCCTTTGATTTTAACTTCGCTGTTCCCCGAGTTTGTAACATCAAACAAAGATTAACAATGCTGAAAATGAAAGACGGACAATACTCATTATAAACACCTAAAACTGTGCAACATCAGACAAAGATTAACAATGCTGAAAATGAAAGACGACAACACTCATTTTTAACATCTAAAAACTGTATGCCATCAAATAAAGATTAACAATGCTGAAAATGAAAGACGACAACACTCATTATTAACATCTAAAAATTGTATGGCATCAAACAAAGATTAACAATGCTGAAAATGAAAGACGACAATATTAATTATTAAACCCTAAAAGTTTTGAGTATCACTCAAAGAGCACTTGATTTGGTTTGAGCAAGAACAGTCTCAGTAAAAATGATTTCAACTTAAAAATACAAACTTTTTTATTGTCAGGTATGTGTAAAGATAGTAGTTTCCTACCTCGCAAAGTCCTTTATTTTTATTTTAAACTTCTCAGTTACAGTCGTTCTATAGCTTTCATCGAACACTCTTTTGTAGTTAATAAGTTTTCGTTTTGTTTACAAATATGCTTCCTAACCACAACTGTTGTTAGTAAAACACCGACAGCTTGTTTTGTTTTAGCGAATAGCTGCACAATGGGCTTTCTTCACAGTGTTTGTTGCGGGGATCGAGCCCTGAATTCTAGTTTTGTAAGCCCTCAAGCTAACCGCCAAACTATCGGGACAGGGAACAAAAAAAAAACACACATCAGAATAACGTAACGAAAACGTAGGATTTGTGAAACAAAAAACAAAGATTTCGAGTTTAAAACTTTCAATACTTGTCAAAAAACTCTTTAAATATATATATTAATTATAATATGCAAAAGATAAATCTAATTGGTGATCTACAAAATCACACGAATGAATCACTCATTGGCATGTCACGTGAGGAACCATTATAACGGTCGTGTTGAAATAATGAGCATTTCTTGGTGAGGTTTCATTTTTAACGACCATACTGAAATAATGTACTGTAACATTTCCTGATCAAGTTTCATTAAAAAAATCAAATCGAAATTATCAACTGTATTTTCCTGTTTTATACATGCGCCAATAACCCTCTCCCTCCATATATAACCCATTTTGGGGTAACGTCTGACATAGATTAATGTTCTCTTAGTGTCATGCCTGACCCAGATGAATGACCAGGTCAGGACACTAGCTAGCTGTTAAGGTTAGCTCTACTTTTAATGTCTATAAGGTATTGATTGGCCGGGATAAAGGACAATTTCAATAATTTCTTGAGTCAGATTCGAACCGGAGACCTTTTGCGCAGCTCTACCAACTGAGTTATAGGATCAACCCACTAGTATTTGCTCGTAAGGCATTTTTTAACGACTCATATTTCCACCTGGGCACCGTGACGACATCTCACGGCACATCCACTTTAGATGCAAAAAATACATAAATTCTCCTCTGAACTTTGACGCACGTTTTCGTGAATCGAGTGGGAAAGTTGTTAAACTTTACCTTCTATTTTGTTTTCTTCTAGTAAATGATGTCCTACTGCACCACTAGATTAACTGCTAAACTATATAAATTCATATATTCATAGATATTCAAAATATATATTGTTGATATCTGCTTTAGCCGTCCCTAATGTTGAAGTGATAGATTAGATCGAAGGCAGTTAGTCAACACCAGCTACTGACAACTCTTGGGTTAGTCTTATCAGAGTGAACAGTAGGATTTGACTGCCACCCTTATAATGCCCCCACCGCCCCAAAGTGCGAAGTGCGGTAACGGGACGTGAACATCGAACCTCGGATGCACATTCCGACATGCTTAGAAAGACCGATTGACATGGCCAGTACTCAAGCTTCCAATTTAACCGTCACTTCCGAAACTGTTAGCATTCACCAAGAATTGAAGTTACACGTGTAACAAAAACTGTTATTGAAGTCGACTTATAATTTTCACCGTAACTTAAACCTCGAAGTACTACAGAAGTTAATCTGAGACAGGAATACAGGCTACATTCCCATTCGTTCGATTTTCATTAGTTTAACGTTGGTTTTGTTTTTTTACCTCGGGACTGAAAATCCTCCGCGTATCTTAAAATGATTGTTTAAACTAAGATGAGAATGCCATTAATTTTAATTGATTCTGAGTTTTTATATTTTCGCCTCCAAAGCACACATCTAATTCAATTATTTCGAATTAAAAGCAAGATTATTTGAAAAGTGAACATAAAAATTCAAGAACCTGACTTAAAACAGACATTAACAAAACATATCGGAATTCTGGAACTGGGGAACTGACCCCCTCATGTTAACAAGACTGAGCCTATTATGCTTCATGGAAACCAACATAAAACTAATTAAACCTTAGTACAATACCGCAATAAACAAATTACTTTTATATTCCGACCTTTTTTTTTTTTTGCTTATCGGAAAAAATAATGAAAGGTTATCACTCAACCTAACTACAACAAAGTATATTTTTCCTGATTAGCTACGTTAGCGAATCTTATTGAACCATGTTTACGCTTTGATCTAAACGCCTATTTAAATCCTGTCGGAACCTTTAACAGTTTATTTTATCGGAAACTACACAGTCCTAAATCACGAACGTAATCAAATTACCCACTGTCTACTTTAGTCCTCACAGTCTGTATAGTTACCTGACTGCTTGCATAACTTCAGCAACAGTTCTTAAAACAAGAATATATAATAAACAAAACACGTTTAGTGTATCTTGATCTTCCTGTATGTCAAACGTATTTTAAAGAAGAATCATAATCAATATTGAATAAGTATATAGAATAATTTTATTTTTCTCTACCTGTGTGAGTGAACTATCCAGAACCAAACCACGTACATTCAAGGGGATTATAATATACAACTAACATTTAAATACCAAGACAGCCATACACAACTACATCATTTAAATTTCCAGATGACTTACTTGAGCTTCCTCGGGCCTGTCTTCACGCATTTCCGGTTTTGACGTCACCAGAAAGGTAAGACATGAGAATGCGTTGTTCTTAAACGACTAATCTCCAGATAATTTAACAATGATAAAATAAAATACCCCGTGTAGAAAACTTTATAAAAATGGATCTTGATTTTCAAAGAGATTTAAGGAGAACACAACATCACCATTTACACTTCTTTACTAGGTTCCTCAGGTTCTAGAGAGCCACGTCCAAGTTGAAACTGCCCGTACACGACTACCAACGTTAACCAAACGTCTTCCAATCGCCCACGTTTTATCAAGCCCTCTTCCCTCGCCCTATGGAATGCTGGGAATGACAACAACAGAAACCTGTTCCAGTCACAGGTGCGTGCTTAGAAAGACAATGAAGAGACGCATACCCCTATAGAGGGCACTATAGTTCTGTGTGGCAGTAATCTACCTGATTTACATTCATACCATCTTGTCACGCATAAAATCTGAATACGCAAACTAATTCCAGCAAAGCTGAGCAACGTTATCTCGAAGAGCTGATAAATCCTGAGTAAATATCATCGTTTCGCTGCCCTTGAGCAAAATTTAGATAATTGTACCGTGCCTTTTTTTTATTATTATTAGTTTCATACGGAGGCTACTCTTAAATATCCAAGTCCATTTTAAACTTTAATGCACGTATTTGAAATTAAAACAAAATCTTCCAAATATTTAAACGCTAATCCCTTAGTCACTGAATATCTGGATGATATCAAATCTTATGGTCACTTTTAACGTGAATTATGATGCTTTTTAGTTTTTGTTATGTATAAGTCTATTTTATATTTTACAATAAAACTACTTTTGATTTAACATTTTAAAACATTTCGGTTTGGTGTTTCATACGTAATGTTCACTACCAGTCTACTCTTATTTAGCGAGCCGAGACAAACAAAGCAACTAGAGTGTTAGTTATTTATAATGCATTTTGCAAAATGTGGATCCCACTAGTAATGAACGAGATAAAACTAAGTCGGTAATTTCAGGGATGACTTAGTTTTCCCCTTTTCAATAAAGTTGGTCAGCACCCCTTTTACAGCAGTCAACTCGTGAAGTAGGCGTAGCCTATTGGTCAGGGTGCTCAGACTATTCAGTCAGACAAAGAGTAACAGCCAAATAGATGATGGTGGGTGTTGTTGACTAGCTGTCTTCTCTGTAATTAATCGCTTCTGAATTAGAGACATCTAGACATCTTGAGTAGCTTTGCGCGAAATCCATCAAGCAAATATTAACAGCATTGGTTAGAATTTTTAATGTATCTGTTTTCACTCACTTTAATTCTTAATTATTAAACTTTTGTTATAGAGATTAATTTGCAGTGTTACATATAAGTCTATTTTATATTTTACAATAAAACTACTTTTGATTTAACATTTTAAAACATTTCGGTTTGGCGTTTCATACGTAATGTTCACTACCAGTCTACTCTGATTTAGCGAGCCGAGACAAACAAAGCAACTAGAGTGTTTCTATTTTGTACTTATGACAAAACTATTAAGCCTATCTGCCGCCATCCCTAATTTTGAACTACTGACCAAAGAGAAGATAGCAAGTGAAAAACACCCTACCACCGTCCATCCAAGTTGAGCGATTGACTGTCACTCTTATAACATTGGCCAGGTGGTTAGGGCGCTCGACTCGCAATCTGAGGGTCGCGGGTTCTAATCCCCGTCCCACAAAACACGCTCACCCATTCAGCCGTGGGGGCGTTACAATGTGACAGTCAATCCCACTATTCGTTGGAAAAAGAGTAGCCCAAGAGTTGGCGGTGAGTGATGATGACTAGCTGCCTTTCCTCTAGTCCTTCACTGTTAAATTATGAACGGCTAGCGCAGATAGCCCTCGTGTAGCTTTGCGCGAAAGTCAAAACAAACCAAACTTTTAACGTATCGACATCTTAAAAAGCGAAAAATATTTTATGGTATTGCATTAGTTCGAACCTAGCTTCCCAGCTCCAAAATCTAAAGTTCTAGTTCAAGAATAACCCAATAGTTGATAACAATAGACCGTTTTATTTCTCAGGACAGTCCCTTACATTTCAAGATGAAACCAGTTGAGAAACCTATTTTATATTAAATCACTTACTTGAGTTAATTGTTTGAAGAGTTATTGGTAGAATCTCTTTTAAACTAGGTCCCACCGTGCCGAAAGAACACGTTGCACTCCCACCCACCTCAAAAAAAAGGTTGCAAAAACAACAACAAAATGTTCGCACAGCATGATAATATCTAAAAATATAAAAAATAATAATTTTCTGGTCAATTTTTCGGTAAACAACCTCCATCAGGATCGATGAAGTAGTAATTTTAACCATATCTACTTGGAGGTTTAGCCTAAATAAATCACATATCCTGGTGGTCAGGTTTGGTGACTGTGTAATTAACTGTGCTCTAGACGTTTACCAACAAAAACAACAGACAACGTTACCTCAGTATACCAATAGTGTTTTTAATTCAACTCACAATATATAATCGTTTACCATAATAACAAAAAACGTCTCTTTCTTTAACAAAAACTAGAAACTGTTGTCAGGGATTGTAGAGAACACACCTTATGTATTTCATTTGTATGTTGTAAAACCCAAATCTACGCAATTGGCTATCTGTGCTATGCCCACCACGGGTATCGAAACTCGGATTTTAACGTCGTAAACCTACAGACTTACCGCTGAGCCACTGTGGAGGTTTTGCATATTTCAACGTGATCTTTTGAAAAAGATTTTAGTTCGTGTTTAAAACGCTGTGGATTTATATAAAACTTCAATTTAAGCAAAACTTCCATTTAAACAAAACTTCAATTTAAGCAAAACTTCAATTTAAACAAAACTTCAATTTAAACAAAATTTTCATTAAAACAAATCTTCAATTTAAGCAAAACTTCAATTTAAACAAAACCTCTAATTTAAGCAAAACTTCCATTTAAACAAACTTCAATTTAAACAAAATTTTCATTAAAACAAAGCTTCAATTTAAGCAAAACTTCAATTTAAACAAAACTTCCATTAAAACAAAACTTCAATTTAAACAAACTTCCATTTAAACAAAACTTCAATCTAAACAAAACTTCAATTTAAACAAAACTTCAATTTAAGCAAACTTCCATTTAAACAAAACTTCAATTTAAACAAACTTCCATTTAAACAAAACTTCAACTTAAACAAAACTTCAATTAAAGCAAAACCTCAATTTAAACAGAACTTCCATTTAAACAAGACTTCAATTTAAACAAAACTTCCATTTAAGCAAAACTTCCATTAAAACAAAACTTCAATTTAAACAAAACTTCCAAGCAGCAATTTAAAGTCTTCTTAAGAATCGAAAAATAAAATAAGTAGTTTTTGTTTTATAATTTTAACATAGCGTTCTCATAAAGTAATGCTTCTTACGATGTAAATAAACTACTGTGAAGAAATCATTGTACTTGTATTTAACACACTGAACACTAAATAATAATATACAAACAGCTGAGCCTTTATGTAAGGAGAATCATATGCTGACCATAAAAACAAAACAACTAACACTTACTTGAAAGACAAAATCCGAACAAAGATTCGAAGAAGTCAAATATAAATAACCTTGCAGTTTCCTTTATCATTTACCAAGGAAAGAGACTGATGTTAGACGAGTTTAGTGTTGGATCCAGTGACTAGGGGTGTCTGAGGGAAGCGTTCCACACTACAAACCGCCCGCACTTTGATCTACCTCAGTTTAATGATGTATGTAACACTTCATTCGGTGTATATAGATCCCGAAAAATTCAGAGGAGTGCCTTTCTTTATCTTCACCAACAAACACATCGTATCAAAATTGAATTATGGGAGATTCTTTTGTCGGTAGGCATTAGAAAATATACAAACCTAATGCAGTACAACATGTAAGAATGACAATGTTAGTGTAAAAAACTTTTTTGTTTAATCGGGTATCATCCAAGTCAGAACCTACTTGTGTAGCTCAGTAACACCCAGGTAATGACCTGCTTACATAGTCTAGTATTACCCAAGTTATGACCTACTTGTGTAGCTCAGCAACACCCAAGTAATGACCTGCTTACTTAGTCTAGTATTACCCAAGTTATGACCTACTTGTGTAGCTCAGTAACACCCAAGTTATGACCTGCTTACATAGTCTAGTATTACCCAAGTTATGACCTACTTGTGTAGCTCAGTAACACCCAAGTAATGACCTGCTTACTTAGTCTAGTATTACCCAAGTTATGACCTACTTGTGTAGCCCAGTAACACCCAAGTAATGACCTGCTTACATAGTCTAGTATTACCCAAGTTATGATCTACTTATGTAGTCTAGTAACGCTCAAGTAATGACCTGCTTACATAGTCTAGTATTACCCAAGTTATGACCTACTTATGTAGTCTAGTAACGCTCAAGTAATGACCTGCTTACATAGTCTACTATTACCCAAGTTATGACCTACTTGTGTAGCCCAGTAACACCCAAGTAATGACCTGCTTACATAGTCTAGTATTACCCAAGTTATGACCTACTTATGTAGTCTAGTAACGCTCAAGTAATGACCTACTTGTGTAGCTCAGTAACGCTCAAGTAATGACCTACTCAGTAACACCTAACTCAGTAGCACCCAAGTCAGGACCTATTTGTGTAGCTTAGTAACACTTAAGTCGGGACCTACTTGTGAAGCCCAGTAACACCGAAGTCAGGACCTATTTGTGTAGCCCAGTAACACCCAAGTCAGGACTTATTTGTGTAGCCTAGTAACACTCAAGTCGGGACCTACTTGTGTAGCCCAGTAACACCCAAGTCAGGACCTATTTCTCAAGTTTTCCAGGTTTGGGTGTGCAACTCTTGGATGGTTTTCCCGAGAGTTGGTGTGCACTACAACTCGGATTTCCTGATGTTGTATACGTGTCGTCGTTGTCGAATTTTCGTCCGATTGAGTACTCTCTCGTCAAATTTTCGGGGGTTCGCTATACACTTTCCTGGTTTCTCGAAGTTGGGCACACACGCACACACTTTTTTTGGTTCATGATCCAGAATAAACGTGTAACGATTATCGTCAATGTTTTGCAAATATAAACATAGTATTGGCAAATATTTTTGCCTTTTGTTCTATATTGATGTTACTGTGTACATGCATGAAGTAGTTATTGAGTAAATGCCCGAGTAGTAACAGAAAAAGTAGCGTGTGATTGGACAAACATGTA